GAGAAAAAAAAAATTAAAACAAAATAAAAACAGGACCTAGATTACTAAGGATAGAGAAGATTTATAAGATTTACAAATAGTGAGTTTGTGAAGTTCTTTTCTACAATGAAAATTTTTGAACTCGTTGTGTCTCGATTTCGATGTCATGTTTAGCCTGGATCCTCATTGCACATTTTTGCGCCTCAGTTTCAAAAATAAGAGAGGAAATAATATAACTTGCTACTACAGTTCTCTTTTGACGCTCGCCTAGTTAAACACGAAGGAGCGCTATAAAAGGAACCTTAGATTCCACTGAACCATTTGTCAATCAACTTTCGTGTGATGTAGAACTCTTAGCGTCAAGTCAGCTTGAGTTACAGCTACTCCAAAGCAGTGAACAGCGGGCGCATTCCTCAAAATTGTTTTATGTTTTTATCACAATACAAGAATTTTTGAGATTTGTATTTCCTTTCTCCAATGGAAACTGTCTCTATTTGTGGCGCTAAATTTGAAATCGAAGTAGGTGGTTCGCACGTTACCTCATACCACCATGCTGGTAGAAGTAAACAATAGATATCTCATTAGCTCCTTTTGTTCCTCTACCAGCATTTGAATTTGACCCACACATGTCAATGGTGAGTGACAAATGAGCCTAGGTCTTCTCAGGGAAGACTTCTTCATATAGCGCGCCTTCGTGTTTAAGGTGCTGACAAGGAGAATTTGTTTGAGTGACTGACATCTAATTTCTCCCTACAATATCACCCTGAATCAAACATTTAAGTCATAAGAATAAAGGAAATGATCACCAACTAAAGAAGCTCTTGATTGTTAGACAAGTTCATTTTGTCAGCACTTCAAGAAAAATACAGAGAACAGTATGGAGAATATGCAACCTGGGGTCAAGAGACCTACCAAAAATTCACTGCCACATTTCTTGGCTCTTCCTTACTTGGATATGACTGGACCTCGTGCCACCAAAAAGAAGGCATAAACAGAACATCGCCTTCATTTATTGTACAATTCAAAGCCTGTGCCTCCTTAAATTTTGGAAATCGTTGATAATCTGGTTTAAGGATATCAACTGGAGACATCACCATTGAGGTACTTTCCAGAAGTTTTTTCCGACGGAATTTCTTGTTTGTAGGATTGTAGTCGAGTTTAGCTTCCTGAATGTGAGCTTCATACAGTCTCATGTTATCATGTGGTTCATAAATGAACAATTGTTTTGTCCCGCTGATCTGAAAGGGAGAAGATATTGATAATGATATTCACATGGTTTGATCACAGTTATAAAGTTGTGCCTTTTTATGGAGATAGATGAATAGTTTACCCTGTAGCCCCTCCAGTGTTAAGTATATCTAATTTCCCCAAACAGTATCACGTCTGAATCAAACACAAAGGTTATGTGAACAAAGAAAATGATTGAGAGGTCAAGAAGCTCTTGATTGTTAAAAAAATTCTTCTTGTAACTACCTAAGGAAAGGTATGGCGAATACTATGGAGAACTTGTAAACTGATGTTGGGGTATAAATGGTTTAGCAAAATCTTAATCCAATTTGTGGGCACCCACTTATGCTCCTGGGTGGAGAAAGGCATTGCAAGAGTAAAGTGTTTTACCTAACACAAGACAATGACTTGGACCTGCATTTTTGTACCAGAGTCCAGCACACTAAACATTGGTCCACCATGTCTCCCACTTCGTGTTCATGCCGTTGTAATTTTTTGTATTAATTTACAACACTAGTTCAAACTATACTCTACATCAACACCATTCTGTTTAGATCAACATACCTGACACAGGAAGTTGTCAAATGGGTCAAAATGCAGCTTGCCTAAAGTATTGCCATTACTAACCCAGATATTTAGATGTCTTCTCTTTAATTCTCCAGCAACAAAAGGCATTTCTCTGATGTCTTGCTCAAGCTCTGGCAATAAACTTGGTATTGAAGAATACTCCAAGTAAGCTGAAATATGACTGTTATTTGATGACTGAAGGACTTCCATGAAAGATGAGAACTTCATTTCTAAAAATGCTGGACGAACAACCACTAAGTCTGGAAAAGGAAGCTGAGATTTCACCTCATCTGGAAAATTGAAATTTTTGAAATCCTCAAAGTTGTTGGCCTTTTCACAGCCTTCGTACTCTCCATAGGGTGCAAATGCAATCCGCACCATCTTGTGCCCAAACTTTTTTGTGAGGAAATCTGTTGTCCATTTTTTCATTGCAGGCCAGTTTTTTAAAGCATCTATGAAAAGTAAAAACATGGGTAACTTACAAAAAACTGTCCCTTGATGAGGAAAAACAAGTGGCTTATGGTTGGTTGGTGCCCGAGACTTCAGCAAAGTGTGTTCCTGGACATGTAATTGTAATGTGTCCCTGTGCAAGACACTCAACTCTTGCCCTGCCTTTATACATCCATGAGTATGAATGGTTCTTGTGAACTGCGGGTGCCAGAGAAAACTGGAAGGGGGGGGTAGGGCAGGGTAGGGTGGGTAAACCCTTGTCATAGACTTCTCCCCCTCCTTCATGAAGATTGGGAAAATTACTAAGCTACATACAGAAAGAAGATAAATTATTCGGTCTTCAGGTCTTCAGGGAGGGGCACGGGTGGGGAAAGTGATCTTGCTAGTCTGTTCAATAGTTTTTGGAAATGACTCCAAATAGATTACCAAGTTAGTGCGATGTTTCTTACCTGTGATGACAACTGGTTTTGATCGGAAAAAGTATTCATGAAAAAATTTCTCTTTGGAAGGAAGTGGAATCCGTTCACATGTCCCACCGATGTTGACAGGGCCTGCATTAGGATCATGTCTGAAGTCCTCACTTTTTTGGACCCGGTACAAATTTTGTAACATTCTTTTCATTAATAAACCAGCGTAGGATAAATTACCATCTTGCTGCCGGAAAGTTTCACAATTTTCGTTGAGAAACGTAAGTAATTCTTGAACTGTTCTCGAGCCCCGATATATTTGGGCCTTGGGTGGATTTTCCCAAGTTGGTCGTAAGAGGCAGGCCCTGTCCGACTTTTTTCTTGGAAAGAACGCTAAATCGCCATAATCAGCTAAATCTCGACTTTTCCCACGTTCCCACGAGATCATGCTTGCATCTTTCAGATTTAAAACTCCTATATTAACTCGGCTTTCATTTCTAAAAGCCAAAGAAAGTTTGCGAAAAATTGAATGAAGGGTAGAATCGTTCATCGCCGGCCTCAGTGCCGCCAAAACGCAACCATTCTTCACTGCTGCGGTGATATTTGCTAGGGAATATTCATTTAGGCCTCCTAAATCTGCTAAATTTATACCAGCCAAGAGGAAAATGACTGAAAGGTAAAAAAATTTCACTAACAATAACCTCGTTGCTAGCGCCATCATTTCTTTATTAGGTGTTGTGTGACCAATGACCGAGAGAGATCGGGAACAAACTTACGTGGCACGCTCTGACTTAGAGAGCGTGACGAGAAAGGGTTTGATGAAAATTCGAGAAAAGATCACTTCGTTGCATTTGAGGTTTGATCTCGATCAGCCTTCTTCCCCAGTTGTTTGCGTTTATCCTGAGCAGACTAATGAAAAGAATCGGGATTTTTCTTAAACTTTCCCCAAAATGCCGCCATTGTCAATTAATTGTTGCGCAAGTGATTCTGCGCATGCGAGTTGTGTGTGGTGATCCCATGTGAGTCGCGGGGTAACTCCACGTGTTTCGGAATCAGAAGAATTGGAAATAATTTGAAAACAATTTGGTCTATGGGGATTGGGTACTCAAAAAACGCAGCGCATTTTACGAGTCAGTTCAAGATTACGAAGAACCACTTCAGTCAACTATTTTTGTTAAACGCTCACAAGGGACCCTTTTTAATCTACTTATAAAGAATCTTCATTTGCAGAAGCCGCAAAAATATTTCTTTTTGGAGGAAAAGGAAAGAAAATGGGTTTTTTAAATCTCACAGCCAAGGTTGTGACTGATGTTTGACTAGTTTTATTTCTAATTAGATTTACGTAAAATACAGGCGTTAGACAGTGATCAAAATGATGAACAAACTGCGCATACCAAGAACAAGCTCTTCTGAGCATGTACACGAACTAGATCGCCTTCATACCTGTAAGTCCTCTGGTATTTTTTTTTTTTTGTATCATTTAAATGCTAGCAAGGCGTGAAGCACAGAAAGCGTGAGTCCTCGCGAGCTAATCCCTACCCTACCCTCCTCATCACGCTCTTTTGCGCTCTATCCAGTGCTAAGTTCTGTTTTCAATTCGTGCTGCTTTTTAATCAGCTTGGTAAAGTCTTCTTCGGACAGTTCAGCCTGTAATTCTTGTTTAGACAAGACTAGTTCAATAGCACGCAGCTGGCTTGGCTTGTAAGTTCCCCAATTAATAGTCAAGTAAATTTCGGATAGGACACTCTTGTTCATGAGAAACGCGGTTGCTTGGAATGTGACGTAAGCGCACTCTAAATGAACGTGCAACAAGTAATCGGCAAGGAAACGAGTCAAGAGAAACATTTGTCCTTCATTGCTTGACCGAAACAAAGATCCAGTCACAGCGCCTGCCTGCTTTGTAGGTTTTCCAAGAATTACCATCAGAAGCTTCATAAATTTCGTGGCTTCCTGATCCGTTGTAATTAAGTGGGGTCCGCCAACCCATTTCTTTACGACAAAGTTGTAAATGGCGTCGCAATACCTTTCGTGAACTTTTGCTGCCCAGAGGAAGCAATCTTTGAAAATTGGGTTTACAAGGTACCCATGAAACTCCAAGGGATTGGTTTCACTGCCCTGGTGGAGATGCGATGGATGGAGAGCTAAAAAAACGTTAAATACTGCCAGGGCTACAGCACTTGATTCTGTTACTTTCATCTTGTCTGTGGCTAAGAATTCCTCGAGCAGTGAAAGCACCATGTTTGTTGTTGGATTTTCAACGGGAGTGAGAGCGTCAGAAAGAGCTGAAAGCAACTCTTTGTACTCTTGAGACCCAGCTTCGCGAGTAGCTTTGTGCAGAATTTCGGCCTTCTTCATCAGAGAAGCAGCAGATTCGAGACACCGACTTGAAATGTTCATTTGCACCATCTTTATGGGTCTTAGAATATAAGCCAAAGCCATAACAAGAAAATTATATTTACAATTCTGGAGAAACTTTGTAGGGTTTTTCTTGAGTTGCTGAGTTAGCGATGTATCAAACAAAACCGGAAGTACTTGATTGTATTGTATGTAACGACAAAAAGATTGCGTTACAGAGTCGCGAATTTCTCTTAGAGCGTGACACGTTTTCAAAATGTCTTCAGGAGAGCGGTGATCGATCATGTTGTTCTTGCCAATAAAATAACTTGGCACAAAGCCTTCGTCATAGAATCCTATCAGAAAATTTAGCAGTTCAAGAACATTTGTGCCCAAGCTCTGTTTATTCCAAGAGTTGATTCCCCTTTTCTCAAGCAACCAAAATAGACACGTCTTAAGATGATACGAGGCGAAAACATCTGCGTCACGCGATTTCATCTCGCTTTTGATTAGTGCTTTTAACACAGAGTAGGCTAGCTTTTGGTCGTCTGCTAGGGAACGAGCGAGAATCAGCTCAGCTGCAGAAAAAGAAAATCGCCATTCGAACTCCCGCAGGTGGCTCATGTGGGAGCCAACTGGAACGACATGACAACCCTGGTCTGATATGGCGGAAATCTGCTCGAAACCTGGCCAAGATTGCGGCCTGTCCCTTAGAATCCACTCATTCGCTTGCAAGGGCCATTGTTCGCATTTCAGCCCATATACAAAGTCACGATCGACGTTAAATGAGCCCGTGGTGTACTGTATGGAGTATGAAGGTCCTACAATGGAGCCTTCCTTCGAACGCATGTATAAATGACTAAACGGAACTGACTTCCGACTACTATCGATAAATTTAGAATTCTGAAGGCAGTGCTCCCGAACAGAATCTGAATCAGTCGGAAATAGGGGCCTCTTATTTGACAAGTGTACATATCCTGCGTGCGAAGCGTCATAAATGAATAAGACATTTTCTGCGATGTCGGTTTCCGCATCAGTAAAAGACCCTTTCCCACGTACAACATGTTGGTCTTCTTCGATGTTTCTCTCCCCACCAGTCTCCTCTGGTTTCACAACTTCTTGTAATTTGAGGCTGGTTTTTATGATCATATGGTCGGCATCAGTATTCCATGTTTGACCATGAATCAGTTGAGGAAGAGAAAGCCCTTCGAAGCCGCTTCCGGAATGAATAACCTCCACATCGGGAACATCGCGACAAGCTTCTTCCAAGTCTTGCGCCTGTTCTTCAATGATTTTCTCCATGTCTCCTCTGAAAACATTGAAATAGGACACCAGGTCTAGCACTAAATTTAAATGAACTGCCTCTGAGTTATCCATGTTGTATACTCTGCTTCACTCTCACAGCTCCAGAAACGTGAACTTCACGACGAACACAGTGTGTAATTCTGCCAACCCCACTCAAGTGGAGTTGTAGGAGCTCTGTTACCTAGTAACGCGTGACGTATTTTACGTCACGTTTCTCTGGGAGTGTTCGATGGTAGCTGTGTAGTAAACCTGTTTGGATGGGGTCGGAGAAACTAAGAATAGATCGAGAAATTCGAAGCGAACTACTTTAAATTTGGAAAGCTTCGTTTTCTAAGTGGAAGCGTGTTACAGTTCAACGAGCAGCTTGTTCAAAATTCGTCCGTGTCGACGCGTAGATGGAAGCTGGCAGTTTTGCAATTTTCCCGACCACCTTTTCGCGCTCCTCCATACCACTAGCGTCCAGTTTTCTCTCATTAAAGAAAATTAATAGCTATCATTACCAATACGTAAATAGTAATTCTAGGCACTGCGTATCACTCATTTCTCACACTTTCAGTTTTGAGAGTTTGGTGTTCAACCAAATAATAGGGAAAATGAATAAAGCGAGTAAGTTTCTTAAGAAACTGTGGTGCTGCGTCGGTGGGGGTAACAAGGTAATTTGGTAATATCAACTGAGTTGAAATTGTAAATTGGCCACCGTAAAGAGTTAAAAAGCTGACGTTTCGAGCGTTAGCCTTTCGTCAGAGCGAATGGAGGAATTGTGGGTTGTGTGTGGGTTTCTTGCAGAAAGTGAAGCTACGCTATTGGCGGGAGCATAGCGACGAGAAAAACACGAATAAATTAGTAGAATGAAAAGCGTTCATTGATACCTGTGTGATTAAGAGTGCCGATTTGGAAGATAAACTTTAGTTCGAGAGTTTTGCGGCTTTCCGAGCTACCAAAATGTAAGGAAAGACCGTAGATTGCCATGTGTTGCTTAGAATGATTAGGTAGATTTAAGTGTCTAGCGACTGGTTTTGATGCGTCTTTGTCATTCCTTTCGGCCGGACCAACACTCAAGGTCTTAAAATAATTGAGAAGAATTTGCTACCTTTCTATAACATCAAGAAATGGTTAGATATTCTAGTCTTCTCGGATAGGGACGAATAAATGGAGGTCCCGTCTCCTGCAGGGTTGGGGCAGGAGACGTTAATTTCCCACACACGAGATTACTGTGTGATGGATGTCCTCCCCTGGGGTGGGATGGGTGGGTTAGGACAGCAGGTCCACATCAGCTATTACAGCTGCCAATTAATCAACCTGCTTAAACAAATAAATGAACTTCAACTTCAAC